TTAATTTATCATACAGATAGAAGTTGGATAGAATGACTTCAAAAACAATAGATAAAGTTTTCTTCACAAGCAAAAAAAAAAAAAACCACAAACTAGCGGCATATTCTGTCTGGGATATATACACGCTGTGTATTGCTACATATGTCAAACCGTCAAATGCAGGTGGTGTGAGCCTAGGCATGCTGGAAATGGAAACCCAACCTATGAATGACCATGTAATACCAGAGAAGTAATATGAGATGCATTGCTGCATTAGTACAACTGACTACAGTAGATTTTCCATCGGCTCTCTGCATGAAGGCTTTGTTTTCTGCCAGTTGTGCCCTACTTTTCTGCAGTTTTACTTACACTGTTTTGGCACACGGCTCCTTGCAGAAGACTTCCTATTTTCCTATGTACTCCTCATAGCATCTTGCAAAGAAGTCATCTTGCCCGAGACCACTCTCCTCCAGCAGAGTCTTTCGCTATGGAGGATGGTGCATGTGTAACATGGTATTTCCCTTTTCCGACAGGTGGTACTGGGCCACCATAGCCAACCAGGCTGACCTCAAGATCTCCAATTTACTTATCTCATCAAAGGACCTGAGTCTGTGTCATATTTCTGCTGAATATCATGTCCTTTCATCCCTATCCTCTAAGAGCAACTCTTTCACTTTTTTGCTTTGTTTTTTTTAAGCTCCACTTACAGGTGCTCCATGATTTTGTCTCTTTTTCCATGGGGGACTTGTAAGTGCCATTCTAGTTTACTACATTTCAGCTTCTGTAACAGACTCAATATCACAGCATGCATCTGATCTCAAAAAAGAGAGTTAAGAGTAGGTAATGTATCAATTTATTTCTTAGTTAAATATAAATACTTCCTCACATATGTGATGAATTGCAGGCTGCAGTCCTACATGGAATACATCTATATTACTGAAAATATTATTAACTGAAAGTAACTATACTTTCCTCTTCTCCAGAAAGAGAAAAAAACCCACAGTCTTGTCCAGAACTCAGTGATTCAAGAGTTATGAAGGTATAATGAAGATTTGGAGGGGTGAATTTTAACTGTATTTACCCACTTTGTTAATCTGACCACTTCCAAACACAGCAGTGTTTTAAGATTTTTCAACAACAAATCCTCTCTCACCTCAGGGGAAGTGAAAACCAGTGGTATTATTTTCAGCAGGGCTGCCTCTATATATAAACTCACCAGTCCAACATTCATATATACATAGATACATATAGTAGAGCCAGTCCCACCAGTGATGTAGTAGTCCTAACCATGAAGCCCAAACTGAGATTTGATACTGCGTTCAGTTTCGGTCCCCACTATACCAAAAAAATGTGGACAGGCTGGAGAGGGTCCAGAGAAGGGCCACCAAGATGATCAAAGGACTGGGAAGCCTGCCATATGAGGAAAGGCTGAGAGAACTGTGTTCAGCCTTGAGAAAAGAAGGCTTAAGGGAGACCTTATCACCACATTCCAGTATTTAAGGGGTGGCTACATAGAAGATGCAGACTCCCTTTTTACAAGGAGTCACATGGAAAAGATGAGGGGTAACCGGTACAAGTTACTCCTGGGGAGATTTTTGCTGGAGACAAGGGGAAAATTTTTCACAGTGAGAACAATCAGCCATTGGAATAATCTTCCCAGAGCAGTGGTGGATTCCCCATCATTGGACACTGCTAAGATTCAGCTGGGCAGGGTGCTGGGCTATCTTGTCTAGACCGTGCTTTTGCCAAGAAAGGCTGGACCAGATAATCCCTGCAGTCCCTTCCAACCTGGTATTCTATGATTCTATGATTTAAAATACCCCAAGCTCAGGGATCATTTAGATCCAAGAATATGATTTATCATCTTTTCAGAGAGTGAAATCTTGGAACTTTATTAAGCCTCAAATATAGGTCAGGACTATGAATCCAACCTCAATAGATTTCAAGAAATGAAGTTCAGAGACAGCTCTCCAGTTTGAGTTCATTGCTCTTCCTAACTGGATAATGTGTTTGGTCTTTACAGCTCACCATTGATACTCTTTAAAATGGAAACAGAAAATTGATACCTTCTTCCAGACCTGACTCCTATGATTACAGCTCGTGCTGCTTATAAGCAGCAGCTTCTCGAGACCGTTTAGCCCATCTTTTAAAGAGATGTCATATTTCTTTCTCAGCTTCCCCAACAGACATATATGGTGATCTACATCTGTGCAAAAGGTCCGCATACGTGCAGCAGATATGCCTGGGATTATTCTTCCTCCTCTCCCTGTTTTTTGACTGGTTGAAATTAAAAAGCGGAGTAACCAGCATCTAATATCAAATTCCTATTCCTGCTCTCTGATGGATCCACTACTGACTCTGTAGCCAACTTAGAAACTTTCAGGGGAGAATGAGCAGCTGCACTGGGACTAGTTTGGAAATGGATTGGGACTAGAGAGACTCTTGGCCTCATCTCCCAGTACCAGACCCAATACACAAGCAGGCAGAACAAACCCAAACCAAAAAAGGAAGTAAGCCAGGCCAGGAAAAGGACAGGAGAAGCATATCCAATCCCAGCAAGAATTCACAGCAGTGGTGGCAAAGTCTCAGTTTAATCCTAAAGATTAAATCCTGAAGTCATTCCTTACTTCTTGTTCATGGAAAACATTTGCTGACAGCAAAAATGCCCAAACAACTCTATTATTTGGGTGAGCAAAAATGAGTCCCTGCTGCATTTCTGTGCCACTTTACACATCTAGGATCCAACTAGGTCTTTTTTTGATGCTCTGGGCAGTTTGGTAACAGCTTATTTTTCATCCCGTTGCTCTGTACCTATGGGCTTTTACCAGTAACAGAAATTAAAATTGCTGCAGAAGCTTTTTCTCCTGGTATTTCCAGCTGCAGTGGTAGTAGTGAAAAATCTCCTAGGCTGACTGCTGTAGCATGATTTTCAGCCAATTCTGTGGGCTGTAGGGGTTAAGGGAATTCAGATAAGCCTATGAACTTGTATGCAGTTATCTGAATCTTACTTGCAAAGTTTTCAAGGTTCATCCATCATCATAATGGCTCCTGTGGGATGTTAGTGGACTCTGGGGAACATTAGCCATTTTCCCAATTTCATAACACTAGAACTGGTGAGTATTGTTAGATATTGTAAGACATCATTTGCCAGCCTAAAATGCGATGTTTACATAAATATGTCTGGAGCATAGAATATGTCCGAGGAACTAAACAAAAAATAACCGAGGGTTTTCAAAGAGCAGCTTAAATTCAGGGGTGAGCCAGGCAGTGAATTTTGACATGCTTTCTTAAATCTGTGTTTGTCTAAGTATGCTTATGGTCATGAAGAAAAAGCTGGGAGATTTCTGTGAAAAGACGCCCATATCTTAACATTCTTCCTAGAAGAATAAATAGCAAATTTCTGTGTATCCTGACGTGGAACTGCTATAAGAGCATTTGTAAAATTATCTTTGAAATGCTGGGTGTTGTTTCTCTTTTGCAATCTTTCAGTAGTATGTGCTCCCACCTAGGAAGGTTAATACAGGCATCTGTTTGCTCTTTTTAGATGTACTGATATATGAAAAGACTCTGTGTGGGAGATGGGCTTTTGTTTGTTTGTTTGTGTTTATTTTGGTGTGAGGGAGGTAAAGGCTATTTTAAAAACAGTGAGTTCCAAATGTGGTGTTCATTTACAAAACTGTTGCCGTGTTTCCTCTTCTTTGAAGCTCCAGGGTTTTTTACTTACCTGATTCTTTGTAGGTTTTACACTTTGCTGCAAATGTCACTTTTATTAACAACAACAAAAAAAACCCCAACAAAGAAACAAACAAAAAAACTAAAAAAAAAACTACAACGAAACCAGAAAAAGACAGTACTAACCACTTTGTCTTACATAAGAGAGAAAGCCATAGGTGCTGAAAAGGGGAAACTGCATAAGAGAGAGAAAGGAAAAGGAAGGGAAATGGATAGCTCTCAGTGATACTTCCAAACTTGAACCACTGTGCTTTTATTCCCAGTTGGTCATAGATACCAAAACCATAAATATGTAGATAAGGAAGTACGGACAGACGAGTTTTACCTATAAAATATGAGGCTATCCTTAAGTCCCTATCATGAGCTTTGAGTGCAGTGATACAAAAATGGATCTTTTTGTAGCACCTGAAGCAACCACTACCGAAGTGAGTGGGATCTGTACACTGACTTTAATCGGAGCTGCATCGGAGCCATGAGCCACACCAATTATGTTTCTCCTGGCAGCTAAACTGACATGCCTGTCTGCATAAAGGGCTCAAAAATTATGTCCTATCTTTGAAAACAACCCAACATTTTTGTATTCTGATCTTAACTGTAATGATGTTCCTTCACTGGGTTTGTATAGGAACAGAACATCAGCCAGAATATCATAATGCATCTGTACACGTGAATATTATTTTTCATTAAACATGTTAGCACAGGGATGTAAATTATTTGCACTTAACAAAAAACAATTTTACTCGTAGGTGTTATGGAGAGTTCAAATTTGTGAAGTGACAGTTTTCCTTAGTAAATATATTGAGTTGTGCATTTTTTCAAATAAGTTTGTTTTACAGAAATACAAATTATTGAATCTGCAGTGCTGTTTGGTTTGTTTTCAGTTGGATCATTTTGCAGATCCTGTTTAGGGTGCAGTGGTAGGACAACTAAATCAGCATACTGGAGAGGGCTGCAATGTGGTAAATGAGGCTTCCTGTGTAACTGGGTCTGATGCTAACAAACAGTAATATCAATCAGGCAGTTTCTTAAGACACAGATACAAAGGTAATAGGTATTAGCTGAAGTTTTTCTTGGTGAACACCCTGGAATACAATGTTGACCCATGCTCGCACATTAACAATGTCCATTCTTCCTCACACTTTGGCTACTTGAAAATCTTTTGATTTTTACATTTTTAACAACCTGTCTCTGAGCATCTCTAGTGCCAAACATAAACAGAGGTCCAGAGGAGAAAGACAAGGGTACTATCACAGAGTCTTTAACTAAATATATCCTTTTCTTCTTTTCAGAGGTGTGGAGAAATCTCATTTGATAGTCCTGACCAGAATGCCAAATGTGTTCGCATGCTAGGTAAGGGTAAGAGTCTTTTCCCCTTTTGATACAAATATGTGGAAGTATGTTTAATTGGGGATTTCTTCTCAAAAGTACATGACAATGACTGCAGTGATTCACAATGGCATTTAGATTGCTCATCCACGTGTAGTCCTCACTAACTTACTCTTTATGGTGAATTTTCAATTACTTAAATTATATATATATAATCCAGTAGGGCCCACCCACATCGATAAAAATAAGCTATAGCAACACTGTAATTGTAATCTCTGAGGTACTCAAGTCCAAAACTTATATTTGAAAGCTGAAAATCTATGTAATCAAGCCAGATTTTTAAAACCAGCCTGGGAAAAACGTGAACTTTTGCAGACTGCACACTGTTAATGTAAAGGAGCATTTATGTGCTTTGAAAAAAAATATTAATTTCACAACTACATATCAGATGCTTCTAGGTCAGACCTTCAGCTGCATCAATTAGCAAAATTTCAATCATTGTGATTTTACAGATTTGTGCCAGCATAGCGCTTTGCCCATCATTTGTAAAAATTAATATTAAGCAGAAGTGTCTATTCTTTGGAAACAATACAGGAATGTTCTGCTATGTTTCATTAATTTCTGTGACCAATTTTATTGTATTTGCTTGTTTCGTCTTCAATGCTACTACTGAAACATTAACAGTATGATTAGTATCACAGCGAAAGACAGGGAGTAAGCATCTAAAACCCTAAAAGATAATGTTTACTCAAAAAAAATAAATCACAGAACACTTGCAGGAGTAGGCTTTAAATACTGAAGACGTTTCACCTGCCAGAGTTGAGATGAATGTATGCTGTAAGTTAGAGCATTGCATCTAATAACACAAAGACTGAAATAGTCACAATTTTAAAAACTGCAACTGGCAATGTCTATGAACTTAATATCCATCTGGGTGCATAGCTGTGTTCTGTAATAACAGATTATGTGGTTTGTTGTTTATATTCATTAAATCCTATTGTCACAATAGACCATAATTGCTGCAGAGGAAATCTGTCATGCTTATAGTGCACAGATCCCAACAGATGAACTGACACAATGGGCCGTAATGATCTGTTACATCGATGATCCATGGTTAGAGGTTCTTAATGGAACAAGCTGACAGAAAATATACACTTGTGATCCTTTATCATGCCACTTACAATCTACAGCTTAAATACCACTGAGTTCATAATACTGTAGTTCTAAGGAAGTTATATCCATGGAAATGTCATTATCCATTAGGCAGGAAAAAAAAAAAAAAGCAGAGGGGCAGAAGGGTAGCTGAGAACAAAAAAATGACCTGAAGATGAAAGTCTCCTGCACAGGTTGGTCATTTTTATAACAAGTCAGTCCAAAAATGGGAGTTTGGCATCGTCCTTAATGCAAATGATTCTTCAGGAGCAGTGAGTAGAACAAGATCTTGTTTCCATTACATATATTCTTATCTATGTCTTGTAGTATAGGCATGTGCAAGAATGAGAACATATGCTGTGCTCTGTAAGCAAACTGCTAGGAATGTAAAAATGACTCCAAGGGGTCATGCCAAAGGTGAAACTGGCTCTCAGAGGTCACATCTCTTGTATTTAAAAATATTTCACCTGCTATTATTATTCTTCAGTGCCTCTAACAAATTAAGGACTGTAGTGTCATATATAATATTGGATACTACATTTGACCCCAAGGTATCCCAAATAACATACAGAGCTGAGGTTATTCTAAGTGCAAATTAATATCCCACAACTGGATCTGTAAGAGGTATTGGAAGTAGAAACTAGCATTATAGGGTTTCTCTGAGGGCAACTACTGGAGACAATCTCCACTGTCTTGGTTTATCACAGACGTGTGTGCGGTTCTGGTAGTGCTATAAAGACAGAGGGTGTCCATTCTGGTACCTCTCCTTTCATACGGAAGAGCAGGAGCCAGAAATCGTGCAACCTAAAAGGTCTAAGACTTTGTGCTGAATGCGTCATGTAGTGTCCAATTTCAGATTTTACAAGAGAATTGCATTTCCAAGAGAACAAAAGACAAAGTTTGTCACTGATCAATGCAAAGCTGACATTATAACATCTGTGGGTGTAACTAGTGAACAAAGCGCAACATGCCTTCGGAGAGGGACATCTTTCTTGACTGCACGGTCTTTGAAATGTGCTGAAACAGTCGTGCTGCCACTTACTGTAACAGTGACACAGTGCTGACAGAAATCTAGAGGGCAAATACCAGTAACTGCAAGAGGATAATTACTTAGTAAGAAAAGAAACACAGGAGTCTGGAGTACTGACTGCATTTTTTCAGGGATCTTGACGCAAGACTAGTCCATACTTGGAACTGTACATTATTGAGCAGCACTCTAAAATGGTAACAGCTAGTTTGGTCAGAAAAGATCTGTATCTGGGTTATACTACTAGTTTGGGGTTAGCTTCAAATTTAAACGTTTTTATGATTAACCCTAGGCTTGCTACTGTGAGTCCATGTTCGTTGAGGTAACATGGACTATGTGGATGAGGTTCTTTTACTACAAAGGTTGAGGAAGAGAGGTTTGCAGTGAAAATCTTATTCTATTCCTATCTTCCTGATGGAAAACAGTAAATAAAGAAATGCCTAAACACTTCCAATGGCTATAGTGAAAGTAGGTAACTTTTCAATGGACTGACTCGATATGGTTCAACCTGAGATTAAGAGCAAAAGAATCAGTTTAATGTGTCTTCTTTCAGCATTGAAGTGATGGATATTTATAATCCAAGTGTGAAAAATAACAACTAAATTACATGGTCATATAGCTGTGCTTCCTGAGGATAAAATAGATAATAACTGTGTGCTCTGCCCAGGATATGCTTATTATCAGTGTAATTATATGCACTAAAGTACTTACAGAAAACTATGTTCTCCCTCTTATGCTTTACATTATGCTTGTTTCTTTATGCTTCTATATGTTATACTAGTTAAAGCAACACAACTTTTCTAACTGTCACAGAAGAAAGTCAGTCAGCAGCTCACCTTAGTCTTTTGAAGACCAGTGTCGAGATCCTAAATCTATTGCAGATTTCCCGAGCCTGGCCTTGGCTAAGGCTTTAAACCTCCCTGCACGTCCATTGTCCTTTGAAAATTGGGAAGAGAAGTGCTTCATCACTTCTTAAAGAACAACAAGAATAAATTTATACGTACAATGAGAAGCTGAGTTACTCTAGTAATTCAAGTCATAAAAATACCACACTGTCAATAAAAGTCTGTTGTCACAGGTTTCTCTTGAATCTCCAAGCCTCTCCAGAGCCACCAGTAGCTCATCAGCATTTCAGTGCAAGGTAGAAAATTGGCATTGTTCTGCTTAATTGGAGCAGTTATGAAGTTAGTGAGGGCACTCGACCAAGACAAAATTGCTAGATAATGCTGAACTGTATGTCAAAAAGCTTTTGCCTTATGCTACATTCTGGAAGTTAGAACCCTGGGCTCCTCATGTCCTTTACTTATAATGATTTTGACTTTGAAAAACAATAGCTGGCACAAAAATTGAGCGTATAGCAGGGTACTCACTATGTGTTTATTAGTCCAGATATTTATATTATGAAGGACAGAAGGGAACTATCCCTCTCCCTAGAGCGCCCACTGCTATTTTCAATGGCACAACCTGTGGTTAATTTTTCCCATATGTAGACAGACAAATTCTGGGCTCAGACATGACACAATGTCGTATCATGCAGAGATAATTGGGTTAGTTTGCTGTGAAAATTGCTGGTTGGATGCCTAAGCTAATTAACTCTGCTGGGAAGAATTGCATACTAGCTCGGAAGAGTCCAAAGTTAAGGCAACTTAACCAATTCTCACATCTTAACTAGCTTATCCAAAGCTAACACAGTAACCTCTAGATGGCAAAGCACTGAGTTTTATGAATTTATCCTGGAAAGAATAAAGTTTGCCTATCGGGCTCTAGGATTCATACAGAAGGGAAAAGGTCTGCCAACTCGAAGAGAAACTTGATTGTATAGATAAATATCAGTTTATACAGAATAGACACATCCTTGTATTTGCTGTATTGAATGTAGGCAGCTGCACTCATCATAACACATACAAAATTAAATCATCTCATCAGTTTTAATCTGTTCAACCTTACTGATGACAGTGGAGCAAGGGGGATGGATGATAAAAGAAAATTATCTAGTTTGTTACTCCAGTAACCAGTCTTCCACCACCACAATTGGTCTTTAATCCTTACGGAAAGGCTGTCAGGTTTTGAAGAGGTCACATCTCTTGTTGTCCAATTCTGCTGTCTGCAGAGATTTTTCCAGGTGAAATGCGAATTACTCTCCTGAAGGAGCTACTTAGTAAGATGAAAACACGAGCCTTCCAGACGCCCCATGGCAAATGGCTGAGGTGCTTTCTTTTCATTATTGCAAATTCCACACAGACAGGAATAATGTGGGTGAGTTTTGTTTCCCTTTTGGTGTAGACTTAATCCTTGCAGAAGCAGACAGATGAATCCTTGTTTGGAATAAAAGCAGTTTCCTCACAAATAGCCATTTAAAATTCATCCAAGAAAAAAGCAATCCAAAATAAAAAAGGTGGGGGGAGGCCCTTTATTTTTTTCTTCCCCAGACTACTAGAACATGAGTTTGTTGCTTTGGGGCAACAAACTTTTCCGTATTCCTGCACAGAGATGTTCCCTTCCTCCCCCCCCCCCCCCCAAAAAAAAAGCTGCTTTGTGGCATACTTCCACCATTTATTACCTATGGAGAGTTATGGTTAAAGGAATCGGCATTTGGCCATGAAATGAGTTTCGCGGATCCTGCTTCAGTCTCGGTGGCTCTTTGCCCGCAGCAGAAAACCACCACACATTTGAACAGAGTTGGCAGCTGCAGCTTAAGAGAGAGAGACATTACTGGAATAACAACTGTGTTGAAAGGCAGGGCTGAGGGGCACTGGCGAGGCTGTGCCTGGCTGGCCTCCGCCTTACGTAACCCCACAACTCACCTTCACTGGGGAGGCAGGGACGGGGCAAGAAATCTGTTAAA